TCTCTCTCTCTCTCTCTCTAATTTTCAGAAAGAAGCTACAGGTTGATGGCAGGTGCATAGTCATATCTTCCATTAAAATCTTGTTACATGAATTAACACATTAACAGATCCTATTTGGATGAAACGATTTGAGTTATGCTGATGATACATCACTTTCTGAAATGATATGATGTACATTACATTTAAGACCTAGGAATGTGTCCCTTTCTTTGTGCAGATATGGGGGCTAGTCATGTGTTGGGAGCTACATATATGTATAGAACACTTTGCACTAAGAGACATCAACATGAGTGTGACTTGCCTCTACCTAAAGATTCTTCAACAATCTATGAGGTATGTCTTCTATCAAACCATGATTCCACCATCTGCATCAAGGCAAACAAAATTGTTTCTTTGTCCTTAATAGATTAAGGAAATTATGGAGGAGTCATGGAGGTGATGTTCTTTCCCTTTGGCAATCCCTTCCTCTTGCACCAACGAGCTGGAGATTCATGCGTGGGACTCATGATCACTGATGTTAAATTGTTAATAGAGACATGCAAATTTTCCTGACTTGCATACCATCTCACAGTCATTCTGAATAAACAATTCCATGAATCTAATTCATCTTCTTACTTGATATGTTTGTCATATCAAATCATACAAATGCTTTCACAAGCAGAATGAATACATTTAGCAATTCCATGAATCTGATTCATCTTCTTGCTTAATATGTTTGCCATATCAAATCATACAAATGCCTTCACAAGCAAAATGCATTTAGCAATTCTTCTCTAGGATTATATCGACCATTTCATGTAGCTGCATTGCATAATATCTTTCGGGAAAACAGAGATTCTGGATCAATATTTTAATGAATCTCATTTAGAGCACATATGCACCAACTCTGTTTCCATACCAAATCAATTTCCGTTTCAGATCATATGCACCCATAAGTAGACTTAATATTGCATTCAACAAATTCTTATTTTCTTCAAATAAGCAACATTTTTTCCTTTCTTCTTTTCTTCTGTGGGTTTATATTAACCATTACATGTTGCTGCATTACAGGATAATCCTGGTTCAATATATCCATGAATCTTATTTATAGCATATTCGAACCACATGTGTTTTCCACATTATATCATTCATTTGCACCCCCAATTAGACTTAGCATGCATTCAACAATTTCTTTTCTTCAATGCAACAACAGCCAACTATTTGAGATCAACTACTTTTATAGTGATTGAGCTTTCGTCAACTAAGTTAAAAATATTTAAATCTTTATTTTTAATTTCTGGTGAAGTCTGTTTAAGTTTTTCTCTATCTCTACTTGTATAATTGATAGTAATAGTGTCACCTCTTTTAAGGATCAACTTTTAGTAGAAATAGTTAAACAAGAAAAAATTTGCAACAACATCTCTATATGTTCCAAGAGAGAAAAAAAAATCACAAATCTTATATGGAATTAATGGAATAAACTAAACTTGAAACAATTAATTTTGGAAAAAAATCTTTAAAAAGACCCTTTTTTTGGCATAGTATCTCTTATTTTCAAATTTTCTATAGGACATCTATATTTTTTAATAATATCTGTAGATTATGTCCTAAACAAGATTTTTTCCAGAAAAAAATTCTATAAATAAAAAGATAAATATCTTTGTTGAGGTATCGAGTTGGTTAGTTTATTGCATTAGTGATAAATTTCGTATTCATGTGAATATCATGTATGTTATTAAATAAAATATTTTTTTTTTATTTTTAATAAATATTTTATGAAAAATTAAAAACGAGAGACATTCTATTAAAAAAATATAGTTTTTTTGAGTAAATTTTACATGTATCCCTTCAATTGAATGACCAAAGTGCCCTGCTGCTGCTTCCGGGACCCACTCATGTTGGACCCACTGCCCTTTCCCTCAATCCTGCTATCGTGAAGGCTTCATCTCTCTCTCTCTCTCTCTCTCTCTCTCGTGACAATATTATTTTGACCAAAAATATCTGCTTTTTAATCTGTTCCGCCAATTGCCCCCACTTGTCGTACGCGAATCCAAAGCCCCTTTCTCTCTCTTCTCCATTGTTGAACTCTGTTCGTTTCTTCTCAACTTTGATTCGCTTTTGGACTGCAAGGCTTACCTTTCCTCTGCATACATTGTGTTGTTTGCATTGACGCTAACCTGCAACTGTTCGCAGGCTTTCTTGTGATCTTTCCTCTAAAGCTCTCTCTCTCTCTCTCTCTCTCTCTCTCTCTCTCTCTCTCTATCTATCTTATTTATATCTTTGGTTTACTACTTGCTATTGCAGTCGCCATTAATGATTCATTCTCTACCTTAGTGTTTTAGAAGGTTCCAGCTTTAAAGCAGAGGTTTGGAGCTATTCCTCTGCTGTTTCGCCCTCCAAAGATTGCTCTTTTCTACGCTATTGGTCCCTCTTCTTCGACTTTCTGTGATCGTTTAGGTTTTTGTCGTTCCTCTTCCGTGAATCAACACTACAAGCAAAATGGTGCCGCTTTTGATCTCAGAACCTCCCTACGAGTGAGATCTGGTCCAGAGGCGGTGAAGGACATAGAGGGCCGAGACTGCAAAGAGGAGAGGAGGTGCCAAAGTTCTAATCTTTCCTCGAAGATTTTTTCGTTTGTGTCAAATGAGGTCGGAAGCTCGGCTGGATTCCGCGGTCTTCCAGCTCACACCGACTCGAACCAGGTAAAGTGCCACATCCTTACGGAAGCAAGTGTTTCTTGCTCAATGTTGAGGGTTTGATCGAGGTGAGTGGATGGGGCAATCAGATATTTCGAGAGCAAACAAGTTCAGATCTTGGAAAGTTTCATGTTAATTTGAAATGTAGTGTGGGGAAAGTCGGACTGTGAGTTGATAGGATCTCTTAGGGTTTCTAAAGGAATCCATGAGCTCCAAGGAAATGAAAGGAAAAAAAAAAAAGATTTCTGAGTTTCAGGATACAATGATAGGAGATTTGGAGAGTTCGAAAAAACTGATGAATTTTTCTATGGTGTTGGGATGGATAAAAAATGATTTTGTAGTCAACGGAATTTGCATCGGGATGTTCTCCCTGAACAAAATTCAGGTAATAATTGAGCTGAGAATTTTGGTTTAGTAGCGAAATACCAGGTTTTGTATTTAGAGTTATGCCATTTGGTTTGGTAAAGACTCACTTCTGTTTCTATAACCCTGTAGATCATTGCTTGTGAAGTTAAAACCATGGTAAAATTATTCCTGTCCAAT